TTGGTGAAATTCCGTGTAAATAGTTCTTAAAAAATCAAAGCAATTAGCGAAATGTTGAATTGTTAGTATGTGAGAAGCCGTTCTAATTCAATAGATAAAACAATATACAAAGCTGTTGTTTTCGGTATCAGTGTAATGGAAAGCCAAGGGGCTTGGGGCTTACGGCTTTTTTTACTTTTTCTTGAAAAATTCAAGCTCGGTAGCAAAGCATTCTAAAACTTGCATTCCCGTTCCGAGCTGCTGAGCTGGGCCGGCTCAGAGGCCGGTATTCATTGCCCTGAACGCACCTCTAGTAGGCTGCTTTGAACTGATTGAGTAAACAGTACCAGAAGCAGATAACGCGTGTTGGTTTTAAATTACATTAATTCCTATAATGATGTTCAGTACGTGAAAATCTACAGGCGCGGGGTGGGAGATGTCACAGCTATGGGCTCCCTGATCCCTTTCTTGTAAGAGTTTAAATACCATAGTGATTCCAAGTCTGTCCTCTAAAAGTGTGGGTTTTTTTCGTGGGTGGTTCTTTTTCTCAGTTTTTTCTTTTTTTTTTTTTTGGTTGTCTGCCCGATGTGTTAAAGTTTAGGAAGCAGCTAATTTCACGTTAGGGCTACTGAAGCTGGAGTTCCATATGTCGTGTCAGCACCAGTCTTCCCTTCCCTGAAAACCCTTTTCTATTCAGGCTCCAAGTATAAGTTTCCTGGGTAGGAGAACATCTTAGAACAATGCGGTGGGGCAGATGGAAAGCTCATGACCTACAAAGTTTGTATTTCATCAAGGAACAGCCTGGAAATATATGAAGAAAGAATTTCAAAGTAATTGAAAACAAAGATTGTTGAAAATAGTGTGTCTTGAATTGGAGCATTTTCACGTGCAACTCATCTCAATCTAAATGCATTTACCATACCAGCTATACCTTCTACTATTTCCAGATTAAAGTTACTCTATGTTTAAAACAAACAAAAAACCCCAAAGCAAAAAAACATGCCATAGAAATCAACAAACAAAAAAACCCCCCACAACATCCCGCACCAACCCACCAGTGTCCCCTCTTAAAAAAAAAAAAAAAAAACCAAACCAAACACCAACAAACAAAAAAACTCAAAGAAGGTTATAAGGATTACTACTGAAGAAAACTTGCACAAGATTTATTTGTCAAAACTCAAGTCTCAGTGAATTAGAGTAAAATAAACGTGATTTTTTTGTGTTCATGACAGCATAATTTGCAGTTATTCGCTTCCCATTTGAAGAATTTTCCCTAGAGAATTTCATTTTCGAGACAGACTATAAAAATTGCTGTAAGAAATAGATAAAACCGAAAACAAGAATGGCGAGTTGAAGACGGGGGGAAGGGCGAACGCTGTTGGGCGGTTGGCGAGAAGGCGCGAGTTCGAGGTGGGCTTTTCGAATTTGAAAGTAACCAATAATAACTGCGCGTTTCTGCCAGCCAAAAAACCAGCCAAGAAAAAAAGGGCACAGATTAAAAAAGCCGCCACGACAGCGGTGGAGTATCCCTGTGCAGCAGCGGTCCTGGGAGGTTGCTTGGTTTTGTGAGAGCGATGGCGCGTACGAAGCAGACAGCGCGGAAGTCGACGGGCGGGAAGGCGCCCCGCAAGCAGCTGGCCACCAAGGCGGCCCGCAAGAGCGCGCCGGCCACGGGCGGCGTGAAGAAGCCGCACCGGTACCGGCCCGGCACGGGGGCGCTGCGCGAGATCCGGCGCTACCAGAAGTCGACGGAGCTGCTGATCCGCAAGCTGCCGTTCCAGCGCCCGGTGCGCGAGATCGCGCAGGACTTCAAGACCGACCTGCGCTTCCAGAGCTCGGCCGTGATGGCGCTGCAGGAGGCGAGCGAGGCGTACCTGGTGGGGCTCTTCGAGGACACCAACCTCTGCGCCATCCACGCCAAGCGCGTCACCATCATGCCCAAGGACATCCAGCTGGCCCGCCGCATCCGCGGGGAGCGCGCCTGAGGCTCCTGCCCCTAGCCCTCTGGGATCTATTGTCCCTGCACCCTAAAGGCTCTTTTAAGAGCCACCACATTGCATAAGAGAGCTGTCACATGGTCTTTCCTGAAGTTCTTTTAAGGTAGTGTAAGATTTTGGGATTGATTAGTAAGTACTAATCTTAAAATTTTGTTTGCTACCCACCCCCCGCAGCTTTATGTTTAGCTTTCTCTGAACACGAAACTTCTTTGCAATCGTATGCCACAATTCCAGTGAAAACATGTTTATCAAGCCTTCCTAAGCCCTTGTTTCGAGCTCCTTGATTTTTTAAAGCAGACTGTTCTGTGCTGAGTCGCTTGGAAATATTTACTCGACTATACAACCCTCCCCCCCAAACCAAAAAACCTGCACAAATCAGAAAAAGGAGTGCTTCGACAAGGTAAATGAAACATTTTTCATTCAATGGTCATGGTAACAGCTATAAACCTAGGGGGAAAAAAGTGGAGCAGGATAGAGAGCCTCTGATAATTCTCCCTGCCTCCCCAGACTTCATGTTTCCTGTAAAATATTTTACAATGATTCTTATGAAGCAGTCCAGGTTTTCCCTTTTAAGCAATGTGGAAGGCATAACCTGCGTTAGTATTGGAAGATAAGCTTCAAGCAGCTTTTTATTAAAGAAAAATTGATGCAAAGATACTCTATCTTTGCTCTTACTGGGATATACTCTAAAAACAGGTATTAGATATCTGAGAGTCCTGCTTCTCCAAGTCTGAGATGAATAATACGAAAGTGCTAAGAAGATAAGCCTGATGCAAGGGTAGAAATGGGAACTTCAATAAATTAGTCTAATTGTGATTTGTATTCTCAATTTTCTTTGTCTGCTATTTGACTTTGAGAAAAGGCTAGAGTAGAGGACGAAGAAGTGCTTGGAAAAAGCAAAGAGAACCTGGTGAATGCTCCTGGAAAGTCCTTCTTCCTGTTTTCCAAATACATGCAGAGCACTGGCCCAGGGGAAAGTTTTATGGTTTTTGTTTGGGACTAAAAGAGTTGGGGGAAAGGAAGTAACTTTCAAGCTTTGGCAGCTTTGTAAGCAATGAGAGGTCTATAGGAAATATGTTTTATATGGTTTTGAAAATTGAGGACAAGTGTTTTCTGTTTGATGATAAAAGATAGAGTGGAGTCAGTAAGGAATACATGTGTGTGGGGGGGGATCAGAAGGTCAACATTTACTAGAATTTAGTAGGTTCAATAGAGTTTTGTAGTCAGGAAACTACCTTTGCTCTTTAGTTCATTTCAATTTCTTGGTTGATTGTTTCAAGTTCTGCAGGCTGTATCTGTTTTAATATTTCTGAGAAGTCATCTTTTCTATTAGTTCACAAATAAAACATTCAGATTCCTGTGATTTTTGCTGCTTTGTTGTCACAGCATCTTTTCCTCTGCCCTTGATAATGGAATCTGGCCTATCCAATCCCCTTCTATAAATGTTACCAGCTAAACTGGTCTGAAATTCAAATTCAGTTATTTGAGTATAGCATCTGGGGAGCCCTGCAAGCAGTTTCATGGGGTACGTTTCAGAAACAGTACATAGGAGGTAAAATATGGTAGATACAACTAATATTCATAGCATAATGATATAGGTATGAATGTATATGCACACATATGTATGCATATTCTATATGTACACACATCTATGCTTTTCCTTCACTCAAATTTCATTTCTTCTGAGTATCTATTCAGCTCTGTCTCTTTCCTAGACCCCTCTGCCCCAGCACCACCCAGCTTTATCCATCTGACTTCATTTTTTGTGGTTCCAACAATACAGTAGGGTAGATCAAATGAGAGAAGCTACTTCACAGATGGACAAGATGATTGTTGTAGGTCCCCTCCAGCTGAAATATTCTATTTCATTCTATTCCATTACATTCCATTCCATCCCATTCTATTAATCTCGGTACATCACCACTTGCAGAGTAAGGGGTGGCAATTTTATAAAGTTGAAAGTAGAAGTGCTCTTGCTGGCACAGCACAGAGACTGTGCCTGTATGTATAATCTGAAAGGATTTATATTGTTACAATATTAAATTAACTGCACCTCTGGCTACACTCTAAGAGTTCATCAGGCCCCACCCTGATTGTGATTGTTCCACATTGGCAGTGTGTTATAAATTGGAATGATTTAAGTCTGTAGCTAGGCTCTGCTTTGAGGTGTGGGAGTGTTCAAGGCCAGGTTGAATGGGGCTTTGAGCAACCTGGTCTAGTGGGAGGTGTTCCTGCCCATGGCGTGGGGATTGTAAACAGATGATCTTTAAGGTCCTTTCCAACCTGAAACACTCTGTGATTCTGTGAGGTTAGCAAAGGTTACAATGGCTAAAACCTCAGACTTGTTACAATTGTACATAATTAAAGGGTGAGGTTATGAAGTGAACAAAAACTACCTTACTGAAACGGACATGGGTCCCTGCTAACAATGCACACCCAGGCTCTGTAAGGAGCCCCCACTGATACCAGACTCTGGAATCTACTCTCAAAAGTGGATGAGGAAGTTATTAATTGTGACTGATAAGTAGTTAATATCTTGTCTATGTTCCCAGGTCTTGTGTCAGTGCTCTCTAGTGAAATTGTAGGATCTTACAGTATAAACAAGGTGGTACGTGTTATAAATAGCTTTCCTTTTTTCCTTTTTTAAATTTTTTTTTTTCTTCTCCCCCTGATTAACATTAAATATGCTCTAGGACAACTGAACCAGTAGAATCAAGGACTGAAGTTACGCTTTTATCATCTGACTTTTAAGAGAATACAGAATTTCTATGGTCTATTGAAAGGTTTCTTTCACTCCCCAAGCTGTAAGTGTAAAGTCCCTTCTCACATAATGCTGCCTGTCAAGACAAGGAGAAATCTTAATTATGCCATAGTATAAAAAATCATAATTTGGGTTTCTTTTATTATGATTCACTGTGAACTTAGAAAAGTTTTTACTTTACATACAAACAAATAGAGGTGAAATCTGTCTTAAAAAACGCTTATATGTTCTGTTTGAAAGATGCAAAACAAACAAACAAACAGACAAAAGAATTAGAATTGCTCCTCTGTCCACCACAGAGTGCACAACCATTATGTTAATCTCTTGATAACATTGCAATTCCTGTCTTCTATCGGAACCTGGTTTCAAAACAAGGCCCATGAAGACCAACAAACTCATTTGGGGGCTTTACATAGAGGAAGAAAAAAAACAATTTTGGGGGGGGGGGGGGGGGGGGAAGAAACCCCCAAATCATATTTAATCTGAGCTGATCACTACACTTGGCAACTTTTTCCTCCTTCTTTTCTGATCCATCCCAGTGCTGTCTCTGGCAGTTTGTGTCTACGGTGCAGCAAGCATCTCTAAGAGAAAGAATGCAGGTGGTGCTCAGAAGCCTCCAATGACAACAACTGATAGCTCTGACTTCTAATAACTCCCTTCAGAGCTACCCAGCACTCGGGACTGTTATGCCTCAGGTACCAACTGTAAGCTTTCACAGCTGGGGAGAAGGCAGGAAGGTGTTTCCCCAAATTCTAGTAGAAACTGCTATTACTCTCTGTTATGAATCTGGGTCCTAATTCTTAACTTCCTTTTTTAATGCTCAGGGTCTTGTTAGACTGGTCACTCCTGTGTGCATGTCTCATAGTAATGATTCGAGCAAAGGTGGGTCCTTATAAGGAAGGCTGAAAACTACATACATATATGTATAACCTGCCGATGTCGCCTGAAGAATCATAGAAATCTGATTGCAGAAGTCTGACAACTCAGCATGTTTTCTGACTGCATAATGTCTTGTGATCACCACCTGGGGAAGTGCAAGTTCCAAGACAAAATCACATACAGTCATTACTGGAAGAACACACAAATTTCCACTCAAATATTTTTATAAAGCTCTTATTAAAAGTATCTCCCCCCAAAAAAAACCCCAAACCAAACCAAACCAAAACCAAAACAAACAACAAAAAAAAAACCCACCCACCAAACAAACCTCAGGAAACACATTAACCTTTTCTCCACAGTTTTGTATTATCGGTGGTTATGAACCTGAGCAAACTTAATAGTTATTCGTGTGTACAGTACTTTTCAATCACAGTTTCATGGTCTTCTTAGGTATCTCTCAGTGCTGTGACAAAGAAGCCTCATGCCATGTCTGTCCAGCATGGTGATGCACCATTTTGAGACCAGCCTCAAAATCGATCTTTTTGGAGCAAGGCAGCATCCCCTGTTAAAACAGATTACCTTAGTCAGGTTCAACAGCAACAGAATTCCAGCCAGCTGTGGGAAGCTTCTGCTCTTCCCTAGACCCATCCAGCCAGGAGAGGTCGAGGCACAGCATTTCTGAGCCTGGGCAGTCCCGAACAGAGCCATATCCCCTGTCGCCTTCTCCCTCAAAGCTGTTTCGAGTCTGGCATAAATAGTGGTATAAAAAAACCTCCATTGTGCCTGATTCTCTGTTCACTGTCCTTGAATTAATCTACTGACCTCACATTCCCACGCCTCCACTTTTGCCTCTGGTCCCCCACCCAGTGTTCGTTTAGTGCCTGTTACTACCCTTCAGTATTCTGCAAAGCCCCCGAGTCAATTCCAGACCAGAAAATTTAGAGCCTTGGTAAGGGGTTTACGAGACAAATGTTTACACGCACAATGTACAAAATGAAAAAAAAATACAAAAAGAGCTAGACACATGAAGTGCTACAGACTAGAAGAAAAAAATTGAAAAAAACCATGTAAAAGCATGCTTGTTTAAAAAGAGTGCTAAAGCTCTTTTTGTTGTGTATGTAGTGGCTCTTAAAAGAGCCTTTGGGTCTGTGTGGACTGCCTCGGTGTCTGTTAGAACTGGGGAGAGCTACGGGCAGGAGCC